ATTTGTAAACACTTTACCAGATGTATAATCATGCCATGCTACAACAACTTCTGATTTATTATAATTATAACCTAATGTACAATCATACTCTCTAACATCTCCTAGTCTTAAATCAGCATCAAAAGAAATATTTATGACAGGAACTAAATAAAAATATTTATTAAATTTTGATTATTGAAAAAGGCTAATTTACCTTGAATACAAAGATGTGATCTATTATTCACAACAGTATTACTAGTATTAATACTAGCTCTACACTGATATTCTCCAGCATCAGAGAGTTGAACGCTAGTAATATTCAGTGTTGTTACTAGATTCTTACTGTCACCATTAATCAACAGTGGTGTACTCCTGTTACTAATATCAGTTCTATACCGATACCAGTAATGACTAATGAATGATGTATCAGGACCTATCCCAGTATTAAGACTGATAGTACAGGTCAATACTACTGAAGAGTTTATGAAGAAACTGACAATTGAAGTAGGTATTACATTAACTGAATTGATATAAGTAGCTACAACATAAGAATAAATATTGCATTCATTATCTCTGGACTCTTACCTTTCACTCTAAGAGTAATAGTTTGTGATTGAGTACTACAGTGATGAGGATTAGTCTCAATCATTATTGTACAATTATATTGTGTATTATTATGTGATGGTAGTATTGATGGTATCATTAGTGTATTATTGTTACTATAAATAGAACCATTAGTAAGTAGCCAGGATACTGATACTCCAGTAGGTACTAGTCCAGTGATACAATCAATTGAATAATACTGACCAAGGGATAGTTCTTTTGTTACTGATGGTAGTGTCTCGTTAACTGGTTAGAAATCAAAATAAATATTAGTAATTTTTCTGTTACATTACCTGTTACACATTGATCTAAACTGACACTTTTGGTAGCTATATTAAAATCAATCCCAGCATTGCAATGATATACTCCAGCATCAGATACTTGTATTGAATTAACAGTAAGTATTGATGTAAAGAAAAAGTCAATCTCAAAGTCCCTTATTAATAAACTATTGTGTGTAATATCAGTCATATGATGATACCAAGTGACATTGGGTTGTATACCAGGACCAACAGCAGTATTAAGAATTATGTAACAGTTAATCTTTACTGTTGAATTGATTAGGAATGATAACTGAGAAGACATCACAATTGAACTCACATATGTCCCTAAATATAATTTCAAATATAAAGAAGGATCATTCTTAATTTCTTAATCAATACTTTTA